GCTTCATAAATATCAATTAAAAATTTTGAGGGGGATTACTCCTTTATCCAGGTTAGAAGTTAAATGCCCTGATATTCACGTTAATAAACAACAACGCTGAATTCATTTTATATCGCTCGCAATGAATTTATATTAACTTTAATAAAATACCCGCAAAAACGATAAAATTCCTCCCTCGCCTTCGCCCATATATTTGCTAATTGTAACAAAAATACAATGGAAATACATATTCGTATTCGACCTTTAAGCACCCTTTCTGACATAAAATATTGACAATCAAAATTGTAGCCTCGCTACACTCATAAATTTTGTGCATAGAAAATTATTACCCTAAATAGATAAGTTTTAAAGTCGGCCGTTCCAATTTTCATTCTTTAAATAAAGAGCACGGCTTTGATGTACCCTCTATGAAATTGCTTTTGATAACAAAGGCTTCCAGTGTCTATCATATAATCTACAAGTAATCTTAAGTCATACATTTACCTTCAAAGTATCTGCTTTGAGACCCTGCCAAGGCAGAGAACCCCTCAGGAAATACATGAACATATGCCCCATCGCTTCAAGGTCGTCTCGACGAGACTGTTCACGTCCAAGATGGGTGTTGATGCTCATGTACCGGGCGGTACCAGTCAGAGACTTGTGTTCTCTAGAAAAAAAAATGTAATAAGTAGAAACGTTGTTTACATACGGGTGTCACAAAAAGGCACGATTCTTGAGTGCTATCAAGAAAGTTTCAGATAAAAGCTGTAGGATATTAAGAATCCAATATGCTAGTGACCTTGGGCTTGCCCTTGGTTTTAAGTTTCAAGGTCAAATCTAGTCAACTTGAAAATAGTACATGGACCACCCGATTTTTTATAACTTGTAAGTCCTTACATGTCATTTGTAGGTCAAACAGATTTGAACTTGAAAAAAATAGATGGTGACCTTGGATTTAACCTAACAGCTGATTAGATATCTGTCTCCAGAATAACACTATTATCAAATTGTAATTATTTACATATTTTAACAGTTTTGAATACGTCTATTAAATTCTCTAACCTTCGTATCCATTATTTTTTGTGAAAAATGAGTTTGACTTTCAAATCACCTGCAAGGACATAATGGAAAATATCTTTGGTACCAGATTCCGACATAAAATTTAGGGCTTTATAGATGGCTGGCATAAAAAAATAATCTATTCCATTTGATTTTAAGTTACCCCTAGTTTGCCCTTGTAACTTACGATGAAGGTCAAATCCAACTCTCTAGTACTTCCGGTTACACCAACTTCGTTATTTTAAATGGGACACCTAATATATTTTTGGATTTTCCGATTCTACGTGAAATTTGGGGGTCACTTTATTAAATATTCCCTATACCTAGGAGTTATAGATTTTGAGATATTAATTTTTTAAGAAAAAAATTTGACAGATGCAAGTGTCTGTGGAAATGCTAGAAGCGGCTATCAAGTGGATTTTTGGGTACCTGTAAAGGGCATAGATAAGAACATTATGGTATACCAACAAATTAAAACATTTAATAATAGATGTTTCATTTTTGCTGTTGCATTTTGATAACTTCAAACAGCTATAACTTTGTTAACTTAAATGGAACATCCTATATTTTACTCTGTCATATGTAGATTGAAATTTCCTTTCTAACCATATAAGCATTGTTGGGGTTGCCGTTACTACTTTAAGATATATTTGCAATTTTCTATTTTTTTGACAGGTTGTTCTCGTATCAGACCTGCTATCAAATTGGCCATGACCAGTAACACTCCAAAAACAATTGAAATAACATGACATTTGTCAAGTTAGTTGTCAAATTATTGTTGTGCCTGAATAGTTTTTGCCGAAAATTTAAATAAAAATGCCTGGGCATTGTTTAAAGGATACTAATGAGGATTATTTTAATTTGTTTGTTATTTATGGAAAATGTGACAAAGTAATTTCAAGAACATGTAAAGAATCTGCTGTTTTTTTCCATAAATAACAAACAAATTAAAGTAATCCTCAAGTATAATTTAAACGACAAATGTCAAGTTATTTTAATTGTTTTGGAGTGTCGCTGGTCATGGCCAATTTGGCAACAGGTCTGATACGAGAAAAAGTGTCAAAAAATAGAAAATTGCAAATATCCCTAAAAATAGTAAGGGCAACTCTAACAGTGCTTATATGGCTTGAAAGGAAATTTCAATCTGCATACGATAGAGTAAAAAAATACTTTAACTTTTTTGTTTTAAGAGTTATAAAACAATGGAAACTGCAAAAGTTGCACGATTTTTTATGAAGTTTTCGAAATTGGTAGTAGAAAAACAAATGAAGTTCAAACAAAACGACCGCGGATGTAAACTTCATTAATTTAAATGGAACACTCTGTATATTTTTATATATTTGAATAGAACGTTCCCTGCCGAGCACAGTCATATATGGTTTGTTGGGTCAATCTCTAACAATAAGCGAGATAATTTTAA